ACATTAAATGCCCTTACATTGACAAGACAAGACACATACAAACTTTTCATAAGAGTCACGTCAATCATTCATAAAATATCTCCATCATAAGCAGATCCCTGCAAGTGGGTCTTCAATGGCTGCTGAGGAGCCTCGGACGATGCACACCCACCGAACGGTGGTTTATTGTTAGCAGCAATGGCCTCGGAACAATAGTGAGGGCCTCAGAACCCACGTCTGATACTAGAAAGACATGTCCTGATTTAATCAAGCTGGTCCCACCCCCAAAATGTGACGCCACGTGTCGCTTACATGTACTAACCCGTAACAATCGGTATCTTAAATTGTGAAATAGGAGACGAGGCAAAACTAGGAGAGTTAAAATCCATATTTTGTATCACTACATAATCAAGCTTTCGAGAGGTTTTCTTTTGCCGATTACTGAATAGAAAAATAAGTAAACATACTGTAGATTTCATGCAAGCTACAGATTCTGCAATATTTAATTTCAGCAAGTCGATTTAATTTATGCAATTTAGTCTTGTTTACTTTTCCAATTTGGTAAGTTGAAGCTTAGCCAGAATAATTAAACCGAAATTTCTGGTACTGGCCAACGAATAATTAATTTAATTGTGTCCATTTGCTTAAACAAGTTGAATCTGATTAAAACCTTGTATACCATATCTTTTACCTGAGTAGACTAGCACCTTGTTTACCACAAATTTTGCTTTACATTTTAAACATTAAGCTCCTATTTGATTTAGATAAAAATCATATTTTTAGTAAATTTTGATAAAAATTGATGAGACGAGTGATTGAAAAGTTATGGACCTCGTGAAATATATAATTAAAATTTATTGTTGACTTTGACTTTAATTGATTGTTTCAGCTAAACCAAACATGAGCTGAATTGTTCTTCTACTCAACATTGTTCTTCTAATCTGCAGTGTTAATGGCAAAATCACACTTCGCCTAAAAATACGATTCAATAATCAGCATATGAACTGCACTCGATGAGCAGAATTATAGATTGATCTTTTTAGATATAATAATTCTAATAAGTTGTTAATGGCAAAATCCCACTTCACCTAAAAATACGATTCAATAATCAGCATATGATGACGTGCAAGGGCGGAGCCAGCCCGTCGAAGTAAGGGGTCTCAGAGTTCAAGGGGTGGGGGCCCATAATTTTTTTTTGAAACATTATATGTTAAAATGAGGAAAGTTGGTGCTTTGTGATGGAAAAATAAACATAAATTAATGTACATTATTAACAAAAAAATTAAGAAACGTATAAAAGAAAGTACTAATATTTAATTTAGCAAAATCATACCTTATTACAAGCATTCCCTTCGAGCCTGGTATCCAAAACATAGCACGTTTAGTCATTCAATGTTTACGAGTCTGGTATC